AAAATCTGGTCACACTAAGAGGAGGTCCCATACAAAACGGGTAGGGTAAAAGAAGGAAACTAAGAAGATGAATATGGCTGATATACTCTTACACAAAAATGAATATAGAATTCTTAAACAGACTGAAACCACCATAAGAAAGAGACTAAGAATGAAGAAAAATAAAGAGATGAATCAATTGGGGTTATAATAGACATATACATGGAAATATCACAAGAAAACTCCCTGTGTAGCTACCTTTATCTCAATCAAGCAAAAATGTCATGTTTTTCTTTTTTTTCTGCAAAATCAAAGAACAGGAAGGCAGAGCAGATCCTGTGGGGGAAGGTGGTACCAATGGGAGGGGGGAGGTAGTGGGAAAAGGGAGTAGGAGGGTGAATATGGTACAAAAATTGTGCACACATCTATGTAAATGTAAAAATGATACCTGTTGAAACCATTCCAGAAATGGGGGAGGGGAGATAAAGGACAGCTGTGAGGGGCTGAATTCAAGTATGATATATTTGAAACATTGTAAGAACTTTCATAAATACCACAATGTACCCCAACTCAGCACAACAATAAAACAATAAAGTTAGTTATTTCATGTTTATTGCAGCACTATTCACAATAGCCAAGTTATGGAAACAGCCAAGATGCCCCACTACTGATGAATGGATTAAGAAAATGGGGTATTTATACACAATGGAATTCTACTCGGCCATGAAGAAGAATGAAATCTTATCAATCACAAGTAAATGGATGGAAATAGAGAACATCATCCTGAGTGAGGTTAACCAGGCTCAGAAGAACAATAATCATATGTTCTCCCTCATATGTGGACTTTAGATCAAGGGCAAATACAGCAAGGTAATTGGACTTGGGTCACATGATAAGGTGAGAGCACAAGGGAGGTATAAAGATAGGTAAGAAACCTAAAAAACATGATGGTATTTGATGTACTCAATGCAAAGAAACTAATGCAGCAACTTTAAAGCGACTGAGGCCAATAGGAGAAGGGGATCAGGCACTAGAGAAAAGGTCAGTTCGAGAAGAATAAACTTAGAACATAACACACATGTACAGGAAAGCAATGCGAGGAATCTCCCTGTACAGCTATCCTAATCTCAACTAGCAAAAACCCTTTGTCCTTCTTATTATTGATATACTCTCTCTTCAACAAAACTAGAGATAATGGCAAAACAGTTTCTGCCTGGAAGCGAGGGGGTATGGAGGGAGAGCAAGGAGGTGGGGGAAAGGGAGGGGGTCGGGGAAAGGGAGGGGATGGGGGAGGAAGGGAGGGGGCAGGGGGGAGAAATAACCCAAACATTGTATGAACATGTGAATAAATGAAAAAAAAAAAGAAAAATTTGGACAGATATAATTTAAGAAAAGAAAAATGAGAGAGTAAAAGGCACTTAAGAGTAGAAAAAGACTAAACTACAATGAAATATTTTAATTAGAAAAACAGAAAAATCTCAATAATACAAAATAAGTTGGAGAAAGTTGCCAAAGAAATTCTTTCACAAATATTGCATGACTAGCACAGTTCATGGGTAAATATTTCTGGTTTTTCAAGTGACAAGTAATTCTTTTGCAATTTCAATTCTTAAGAAGTGTAGAAAAGTGTGAAATGTCCCTTAATTTTACCAATCTGAAATAATCCTTATACAAAAACCTGACAGAGAAAACTACAAACCCAAATAACTTTTAAGTATTAATAAAAATTTATAAAGTATTATGCAATAAAAACCTGCACAACATTAAAAGAAAAAGAAGATATCATAACCAGTCAAGGTGTATTCCAAAAAGATTAGTGGTTTTTTCATACATAGAAGAAAAAACGTAATTTGTCTCATCAGTAAACTAAGCAAGGCAAAATTATCATCTCAATAGATATTGAAATGGCATGTGGAAATAATCAATCATTCATTTCTGACAAGTTGAAAAGCATTAATCAGATAGAAGGAAATGTCCTCAATCCAACAACCACTAGCCAATTTATACATACTGTCGTAACATCTGAGATACTTCCATTGACAAGTGTGCCTGATGGCATGATAATTTATAACTGTTCTAAAAGGCTAAACAAAACTAATATGATAAAATGCAATATAAACTTAAAAGAGGAAGAGTCAAACATTATTTTCATGTAGTGTGGTTCTTTGCCTAAAATATGAGAAAAACAATTTAAAAATTGTAATCATCTAATTATCCCCAAATCCATAGATTAAAAAAAAATTTAGGGCTGGCTGAGTTGCTCAAGTAGAAATGTGTCTGCCTAGCAAGCATGAGGCCCTGAATTCAAACCCCAGTGCCAAAAAAAAATTGCAGTGCTGGGAATTGAATCCAGGGCTTTATGCATTTTAGGCAAGCACTCTTCCACTGAACTGTACCCCCATTCCTTGAGAGATGATTTTTACTATTAATCTTCAATAGTGATCCAATTTCACTGCCTGGGAAACACACTCTCAGACTATACATTCTGCCTGAAGAAGATAAGGTTCCCTGTATAGGTTCAATAAAGTGAACATATGACCTATTCTTTTCTAGCCATGCAATGAAGTTGTACTTGGTAATACTTTAGCACTAGTCTTTTTGTTGTTAATTTTCATACTCAAAGGAGCATCTTGGGATTCATTGTTAAAGTTTTCTTTGAGTCTTTTGAGAAAATTCCACCTTAAATGACCTCAAATATTCAGCAATTGCATACTCATTTATTTGACTAATCAACAAAATATTTTCTGTGTTCTAAAACATGAAGATATGCACTAAAGATAACACAGATGAATTTTATGTAACTCATCCTGTTTTCTGGTAGCCAAGAAAAGCATAGGCATAAAAATTACAAGTAAGATATAATGATACCAAAACCAGATAAGGACAAAACAAAAAAGAGAAAACTATAGACCAATTTTCTTCATGAACATAGATGCAAAAACTCTTTGGCAAACTTAATTCAACAACACATTAAAAATATCATACAACATGATCAAGTTGTTTCTATTCTGGAGATTCAATGATAGTTCAATATTTACAAGTCAATAAATGTAATACAGCACATACACGAATAAAGGACAAAAATTATATGGTAATCTCAACAGATGCAGAAAAATCTTTTGACTAAATTTATTTATTTATTTATTTGTGATAATTCCACACATGTATTTTTTGTTTTTGAGGAAGCTGCATGCCATGTTCCATAGTGGCTATACCAATTTATATTCCTACCAACAGTTCCTTTTTCTCCACATCCTCACCAGTATTTGCTACTTTTTGTTTTTTTGTTTTTGGGGTTTTTTTTATTCATATGTGCATACAACAAAATTTAATGTCCACTCATGATGAAACTCCTGAAAATACTAGAAATAGAAAGAACATACCTTAACCTGATAAAGGATATATGACAAGTCTATAGCCAACATTGTTCTAAATGGGAAAAAAAACTGAAAGCATTTTCTTTTTTATTTATTTATTTATTTATTATTCATATGTGCATACAATTGCTTGGGTCATTTCTCCCCCCTGCCCCACCCCCTCCCTTACCACCTACCCTGCCCTCTCTCTCTCCCCCCCCACCCCCTCGATACCCGGCAGAAACTATTTTGCCCTTATCTCTAATTTTGTTGAAGAGAGAGTATAAGCAATTATAGGAAGGAGCAAGGGTTTCTGCTAGTTGAGATAAGGATAGCTATACAGGGCATTGACTCACATTGATTTCCTGTGTGTGTGTGTTACCTTCTAGGTTAATTCTTCTTGATCTAACCTTTTCTCTAGTTCCTGGTCTCCTTCTCCTATTGCATTTTCTTTAAAATTAGGAACCAGATAAGGGTGTTCACCCTCTCCACTCTTATTCAATATAGTACTTGAACTATTAGAGCAATAAGGCAAGAAAAAGAAATAAAAAGAGACAAATAGGAAAGGCAAAAATCAAATTACCCCTATTTGCAGATGATGTGATCTTATTCTTAAAAAACCTCGGACTGCACTAGAAAACTGTTAGACCTGATAAACAAAGTTACAGAATACAAAATCAGCCTACAAAAATCAGTAGCTTTTCTATACACCAACAAGAAACATATGGTGATCCCATGCACATGATGTGTGTCCTAACTACATTAGCAATGTGGGTAGGAGGACTATGTTCTGAGGCTGTCCCTAGGGAAAAAATAAATAAAAACAGGGACTCTATCTGAAAAACAACTAAAGCAAAAAAGGGATAGGGATATGTCTCAAGTAGTAGAGCAGCCATCTAGCAAGTGCAAGGCCCAACAGCTAATAATAATAATAGTAATGCTGACAATAATGTGGAGGAAAAAGAACCTTTATGCACTGTGCAGTCACTATGGAAATCAGAATGGAGTTTCCTCAAAAAAGTAGAAATAGAACTACCACATGATCCAGACATACCGCTCCTAGGTATATAGTCAAAGGAATGTAAGCCAGTATACAACAGAGACACCTGCACACTCGTGTATATAGCAGCACAACTCACAGTAGCCAAGGTACTAAATCAGCATAGGTGTCACCAACCAATAAACAGATAAAGAAAATATATGTCATATATATGATGAAGTGTTATTTATCCATAAAGGAGAACAAAATTATGTCATTTGGAAGAAAAAAGATGAAACTGAAGACCATCATGCTAAGCAAAATAGGCCTGATTCAGAAAAACAAAACCACATATTGTGATCCATAAATTCAAACAAACAAACAAGGAGACTTTAACCAAAAGGGACGATTATTTGTGGGAAAGGGACAAAGTGAATGGACTGAGGGGAGAAGAAGAAAAGTAAGGGTGATGGATGTTGAATAAAATCAATGGTCATTATATGCATTTGTAGAAATGTCAAATGAAACCCATTATTTTGTGCAATAAATTAGTTTTTTGAAAAAGAAAAAAACCCACAGTCCTATAATAAAATTGTGTGCTGTGAGATCATAAAGAAGGCAGAGCCTTTACTCTTTGAACCCTTTGAAAGATACATCTAAGGGTTCCCTTATATAGCCATATACCTCTACTATATACTGACCTAAGGATAGTTCTGAAAATGACTGAGTTCATATATGAACTCTTCCAGAGAAAAGAGGTGATGCTTTAGTGTTCAAAATCATTATGAAGTTATATTACTTAGGCAGCTACTTGTTTAAAAGAACTTTTTGTCTGTTAGATAATCCTTTAAAAGACACTTTGGGAATCACAAGGCACACTCCTGCCTGGCCAGCCAGCCGGAGCCCCAGCTAGTACCTCAGAAACTAGGTGGCACTATGTCTTTGCCTCCTGAAGGGAAACTAGAGACTAAAGCCGGACACCCACTCGCCATGAAAACCAGTGGGGTGCAAATTGTGCAGAAACACAATTTCTTTGGTGTAGGCAACAAAGAAGAGAAAAATAAGGATGACCAAGAATGGGAAGGCCCCAGCCTCCTAAGTTGGCCCTGTTCATCTCTGGTGTCATTGCCCAGGGTGACAAGGACTTCCCCCAGCAGCTGCACAGCTGGCTCACCAGAAGCTCCAGGCCTCCATGGACAAGCACCCTTCCCCAAGAACCCAGCACATCCAGCAGCCTCGCAAGTGATCCACACACAGAGCCCCGTCCCACGCAGCATGTCCTAGACCCCCCAGGATAGCTCTCAGACAAACCGAAGTGGCACTTTGTGCAAATTATTAAGCTGCTGGGAAACTGAGACAAAGCAAAGAGCTCCTTCCTTTGTCTTCAATTCCCATAGTTTGAACCAGAAGCAGCTCAAATCCCAAACTGTGTTTATAGGAGCCCTAGCTGGGAGTCACTGAAAGATCTCTGTACCCCGGGAGAAGTGCCATTCACAGAATTTGCTAAGTCCTCAGTAAGATCAGTCCTTCACACTGTAACTTTAATCCATCTTGGCAATTACCTGTGGTCCTTGCCCGTGGTCCTTAAAACAAGAGGACACAAATTTGGAGACTACATAAGATGAGTGGGCAAGCAAAATCATTTCATGCTTTTCAACGAGAGGACAAGACTTAACACCTACCTGCTGCAATGGCAGGTTCCAGCCAAGCCAGAGGAGGGAAGCTTTGAAACAAGCACAGCAACACTGAATTTCCCTCCCCCATGTGACAGCCCCCTCCCCCACCACACACAAACACACACACAGTGACTAAGCACACAGCTTTGAAATGGCTTTCATTCGATGAGTCATAGTGCTGAAAACTGAGAACACGGGGGGGGGGGGGGGAATACTACCAGGTTTGCCCTTGTCCGGAAAAGCTCCACTGGAGAGCGAGGCAGCCTGTGGGCTCAGTATTCACCTCTAGAACTGCCTTTGAGCTCTGGAAGTGACCACTGACCAGGTAGAGGAGAGACAGTGAATTCTGGAACACAAGCAAGAAATTGAAAATGTGAGAAGATGGGCAGATTCCTGCCCTTTGCCTCCCCAGGGACCTGAAACACTGCATTCCACTTGAGCTAGAACTGTTTGTGGGTCAGTCTGCCTATGCCCAGAATCCCCATGCATTCTCCTAGGCCATCCTCATGGGCTCATCAAATCATCCACTTTCTGCTCATTTTCCCTGCCCCAATTTCCACCTGCCCTCCTTTGTGGTTATAACATGCTTGCTTTCCAACCAGATATTAGAACATTACAGAGTGCTCATGGAGAGGATGGATCCTACTTTCCCACTCACCAGCAGTGGAGTTGGCTGCAGGCCACAGTGTTGCTGTGAGCAGCATCTGCACAGCCAGCCTTCTTGGTACCCTTGTGTACCAAGAAGGAGGGGTGGGCCTGGTCAGGGCCAACTCTGCCTCTTCCCTGAGGGAGAAGTATGGCATCTCCTCCTGTTTTATAGGCAGGGTCTGGTTTCCCAGTGATGGCCTTGCAGGAAGCAAGTGTGTAACTCTCAACGCCCCATGCTGTCAACCTTGTATTTCTTAATCACCAAAATATTATGAACCACGGGTGGCTTTGGAGACTCAGACCTAGCCTGGAGTGCTACTGTGAGTGAACCTAGCAAGTGGCTCTTCATCTATCTTGTGAAGTCAAGCAAAAGAGAGGACCTTAGACCAGGCAGCACCAGGTCAGACTGTGCCAAACAGTGCAACTTCCCCTGCAGAAACCCAGTAGCATCAATAAGCCCTTGATATCCACAACAAGAGGGGCTGCCTGTGTCTACAGAGGCACATGTTCTGTGCGCTTGCAGCTGGACGGGGCGCATGGTGGGCTCTGGGTACTGAATGTGAAGTGTTTCCCAGATGAATTCCTGCATCACTGACTTCAAGAATAATAATGATTATAATAAACCCCAGCATCTCTTTTAAAAAAATGACACTTTGGCTTAGATTTCATTTGCTTTCTTGTTGTCACTCGTGTACAATGGTCAACTAGACTGGAATTGCTGCCCAATCAGCAAACATAGAACTGTGGTGCAATACTAACAGAAACTCCTTGAGTTCCCACAGCCTTACCCAGCAGTCCCTTTAACTTTGCCCATAAACCAATAGCAGGCACCTGAGGCCAGCCTAGAGCACCCTGATCTGCACATAGATTTGCAGCGGGATGCTGAAGCTGGGGCTATCTAGCAGGGATAAGTGGGGCAACTAGACCAAGCACAAGTCAAAGAGCTGTTTTCAGATTCTGTGAGGCCCCATGAACAACAACAGTGCTGTGAACTGAGACCCAGTAACCAATAAACCAGGATTCACGCATCAAGAATACAGCTGCTGTTACTTAAACATGGACTCTGGCCAAATCACAAGTCTGGGGAAGGGTAATAACTTCGGTGAGCTCTGCAAACAGACCTGGGCACAAATTGCATATGAAAATTACAGTGCAGCCTTCACATTTGCTTAGGGATGAAGAAAAAAAATGCTGATTTTACTCAATCATTTCAGCCTGACATACAGAGGCGATCAAATAAATATATGTTGAGCATTTTATCCTCTGTATTCTGATCTATGTCAGGAGCTATTCAAAAGAAGTGTAAGATGTGGTCTCTGACTTCAAGATAATTACAGTCTAATTCACAAGTCGTATTCTCCCAAAGAACCCTAAAGTTACTTTTTAAAACTCCAAATGCAATTGTAAGTAATTATCACACTAATCTTTTTCTTAACCCAGGATGCCGTAAACTCCGTGAGCTTAAGGACAGTCACTAATTCATACTCCACTTTATTTCCAGTGCCATGTGCATAGTAACTTCTATGTCTTAAATACATGAACAAGTGGATTGATGATTGGCATGTTATAAACATTTCTAAAAAATTGGATACTGTCTGAATTGTGTTTACTATACATAAACACAAAGAAAGGAAAGCAACTGATGGGCTTGAGTAGTGCAAAAAGGTTTAATTATTTCCTTTAATATCATGTATAAAAATTAAGACAAAACCAAGTATACCCATATGTATAAGCTTAAAATGTTCACTTGACTTGATAGTTAAATGACGTGAAAATGTTGACTTGTCAGATGCTATAATCCCCCAATCATCTCCAGGCTGCTGTGACTTTCTCCCACAACTTTGCTGAAAGTGAAAATATAATCTCAGTCATTCATTTCCCCACCATATAGTAAACCGGGTTGTGAGCTGTAATAAATCTTTACTGAGTTTCAAGATAACATGGGTACAGTCCAGAGAACAACCTTCCCTGTTAGAACAGGAGACCACTCATAGCCACCTAGAAGTCTGTTCAGGCTGAAAACACCCTTCCTGGTAATCTCCAGAAATATACCAAGAAAGAGTTCAGCAGAGCCTATAGCTTGGACTTCAAGTTGCCCAACACGTGAACATCTTCTCCTAAGTTAATGCTGAGCTACATGACCTGACGTGGTGATGGGGATCCTCAGGCCACATACGATGTAAAAGGCTGATTTTCTAATTTTCATTTAGTACATACATTTTCATTGCCTCTTTTCCTGATATTGTAATAAAATCCAATTAGCACGTCTCACATTTGTTTAATTTGTCCTTTCTTCTTTCAGAATCCTTCATGCACTGTATGCAGACATCAACTTTATTTTCTTACTTTTAAAATTTTTTCTCTACCTTGTTTTCTATTTAAATTCTAGTGAAAATGGACATCCCTACTTATAAGCATTCCAATATTCTTTGTGCTTTTTCTCTATTGGGTCATAATGGTATTAATTATTCATGAAATATGATAGATAATTAGAGGGTCTTCAAAATAGAGTGCAAGTATCCCTGGGTTATATAAAAACATCCCAAGGGTAAGCAAGCAAGCACAGGTGAATGCATCTATAGTACAGACATCTTACTAGTCCTTCACTCTCACAAATATACACTAGTAAATCCATATATATATATATATATATATATATATATATATATATATAAACCATCTTCTCGGTTTGCATATTGATTTTTATCACAAGCTTGATAGATTTAGATTAATGAGAATATGCCTAAATTATTGTATCTTTACACCTACTGTCCTGCATTCTTTTGGCTGCTAAATTCCATTGAACCCTATTTCATTATAATCATATAAAGTTTTTCCACTATACTTTTAAATATAATTACCTAACAATAAAAATTTATAAAATAAGTGTTCTGTGTAATAATAACAGCAGCAAATTTATATCTATGCAGAATTTTAAAGAATTTTTGGCCATTCTGGAGTTTGAAGTCAGGGCATTGCATTTGGTATGCAGGGCACTCCACCAAGTGAAATGCAATCAAAAATGTTGACAGTCCACTATGGAAGATCATAAGAGACTAAGTGAATATACTCAACTGCTCATACCAGTGCCTGCTCAGCTGACCTGCTTCTGCTCCGAGGTTCTAGCTCATTCCTAAATTTATCAGTTAAGGCATTTCTGGAACTGACAGATTTCCCAGGAAATCTAGTCCTGCAAACTCTAAACTGAGTCCAGGTTAATTCCTTTGCACAATCATTCCTCTGAGCAGAGAACATTTTAGACCTGCAGATCACTCCTAACAGATTTCCAATCTTAATGTCTACTGAAAACAAAACAGTGATCAAAAATAAGACACACAGACATACCTAGAGCCAGATTAGTTTAATTCTCTATTGCTCTAACTCCATAGTAATGCAGTTTTACTAAAACTACATTCAATTTACATTAATAAATGGATTATTTAATGCTCCAGTTTTCAGCTTATGAATTCAGATATAAGTAGTTTTCATTTCTTTTTCTAAAACTAACGAATGGCTACATATATTAGTTCTGGAAGGTTGAATCCTATAATGTTCATAAGCAACTTAGATTTACTCAGCTTCACCTGTCTTTCATTCAATCAGTGCTGTGCAGTGCTGACCCCACTTCATTCAGATGCAACCAATGGTGTTTTCTATCAGTCCCAGTCTTTCCACCCTGGGGCTTCTCTGATGTTGCTGCAGAGTAGCACATCACAGAAGCTTGTTCCTTACTAAACTATGTACAACTCAGAAGAGCAAGGATTTGTCCCATGGGGCAAACCTTTGACAAACTGAGGAGGGAGCCTATGAAGTGTTTCTCCATTTTCTTCCCCCCAAAAGATGGTCCTGAGATGCATTTTGTATGGCTTCTCAGATGGTTCTGTGAGGTGCTGTAACAGTTAATAAGATTTTTTGTATTTATTTTTCCCTTCTTCTTGCTTTGTTGACCCTCAATTCCGTTCTCTGTTAAAAAAAATCCCAATCAAGTATTTGCATAGGAAGCTTTGTAGATGTTCTGTTTTCTAAGGAACCAAGTCTGTGACTGTTGATACCAAAAATGGTCTTAGAAATCAGTATTTTAAGACTAGATCATGTATGAATCATATGGCAAGAAAGACTCATTATTTATAGTAAATGAGGTGGCAGCATATAATCACATCACAATTACTTGGGTTTTTCAGTTTTTATTTATTGGGGAAACATACAAGTCGAACGTGAGGTATTAAGTTTGTGATGGCTATAGCGCTTGAGTGTCTAGAGGCGATGACACAAGGATTGAGGAGTAGTCTGGCCTTTGTCAACAGTTTTCTACAGTTGTAACCAACTTGATAACACTTCTTGTATTGGTTTTCCCTGGAAAAAGAAAATGATAGACTTCATATATTTAACTGTCAACACTGT